CCAAACCTGGATATAAGAGAGAACCTCCCGGATATAAGAGAAACCCGATATAAGAGAGATTTTCTCTGGTCCCAAATTAGAGCCTGTGTTAATGTATATAAAATAGACCAAACCCGGATATAAGAGAGAACCCGGATATAAGAGACTTCTTCTCCGGTCCCGACAACTTTCTTATATCCGGGTTACACTGTATAACTAATACAATGCAATATATAGCATCTACCAATTTATAAAGAAATAAGTATAAAACATTTTTTTCATAAATTTATAAACATTTAATAAATTATTAAAATGTATGAAGCAGCTATAATGAAATCTTTACTATTTACACTTTTATAAAGTTCGAATCAATTGGTAATTACCTAACGTTTTGTCAAACATTACAATAAACAATTTAATAGTGTTTAGTATTTTTATTGTCAATTCTCAAGAACAAAGATAATATATAAATTGAATTTCATATACAGGGTGTCCGTAAAGGTTGTGTGCACTTTAAAAAATTTATAGCTTTATTTGTATTTGCGATAGAAATAATTTGTAAAAAGGATTAGAAAGAAGTAAATCTATATTTTCTAAGGTTTTATTGAAATTTTATTTAAGTTTCCACATGTCCTCCATCATTAGCAATACAAAGAGTAATACTATTTTGCAGTTCACGGAAAACATTTGCCAACTGATTTACAGTAATGCCGGAAATCACATTAGTTATTTTAGCTATACTTAAAACTAGGTACATTAAACTTTATAACATAACGCGGATGTAGTTTATTGTTGTTATACCATAATACTTATTCTATTGTAATAGACTTTCCCACAGATAATAAGTAGTAGTAGTAGTAGCCAGTTGGGCTCAGTGGAGTTGAGTGAGTCTGTCGGACATTGAAGTATTATCCATCACAACTAGATTTGCTGCGCCATTAATTCTTATTTCAAGTTCCTAACGTTTTGTACGTCGAAGCTAATTTAGGACGACTTATTGAAATACAAGCCTCCACTGTGAAAGCTACTCTACAACGATTGTCTTACCCAGGACGTCGAATTTAATTTATCGTCTTACCCAGGACGCGGATGGGGTTAACTATTTGCCCAGAGCTAGGACCCTAACAGGTGCTACCACTCCGGGTCAGGGTGAACCTGAGAACACCAGCATTTAAGAGGTGACCCTACGCTCCTCAAAACCTCCCGATCAGAAGTCTTTCTGGCGGATTTAATTTATCGTCATACGCGAGATTTACCTTGACCCGACCCCGTATGTGAACGAGGTTGTGATACAAGGTCGATGTTTAATGTGGGGACCAGAGTGCTTCCACTCGGTCAGAGTTTGTCTAAACTAGTCAGAACCGGTCATATCACCGCTACGTAACTGATGTCACGTGATGGTCGGGGACTCAAAGGAGGAGAGAAGGCTTCCGTCACGGAACCCATACTACAACCGCAATATCTATTCCGATGGGGGAAAAAAAAACTCGTCTTCTGGCAATTTATTCGGAAGAATCTGTGAGGGCCACAAATTATCGTCATACCCAGGACGGCAATTATCTGGACTACAGCGAACATAAGCTACAGATTTACAACGTACAAGATTGACGTTGGCCGACAGCTTGTAGAAGAACTTAATACATTTTTACCGAAGCGGTGGTTCAAGAATTTTGACGAAAAGATTAAGTAGTTTCAAAAGAAACGAATTCAATATTTTCAAACGAAATGGATTTCAACACGTTCAAAAGAAATCAAACCATACAGGAATTTTACACGTGTAATTATGTAGATGAAACAAGATAAGCAAGGCCTCTGATCTGGTGGTTCTGAGGTGTATGGAACCACCTCTTAATTCAAGTTGTCCCCAGGACCAACCAGACCGGAGTCGTAGCACCTTTTTGAGTCCCAGATATGGGTAAATAGTTAACCCTCAAACTTGGGTCAAAAACAGATGAAACATGATAAGCAAGACCTCTGATCTGGAGGTTTTGAGGAGCATGGAACCACCTCTTAATTCCAGTTGTCCCCAGGACCAACCAGAGCGGAGTCGTAGCACCTTTTTGAGTCCCAGATATGGGTAAATAGTTAACCCTCAAACTTGGGTCAAAGCACTATGAAAATATAAACATGTTTATAGTAAAAATACCAGCAATACAATTTCCTAGTTAATAAATTACCAGCAATATATATACTAATTACTAATACTCCCAAGAAAACTAAATTTCGGTATTAAATGACCCATGATGTGCCGCTAAACATGCAAATATCGTGTGGTAAGACAAACCGATTACCTCCCCTGTCATAGGATTTGTATAAATATGTCACGTTGTCTTAGCCAAAACAAGACTCTTTAGTTACGTTCAATAAAGGCACATTAAGCCGAACTAGAGTTGACATTACAATTTATTGAACGTTTCCCTCAGAGATTTGGCCCCTGCTGGCGACATCAAACCAAAGGGAGGAGCAGCTCTTCCCTGAAGCAATATCTCTCCCTCTTGATAGTATCGACGACACAATGCAATTGAATTCAACTGAAGAATCTAGTAACAATTTAGTGATGGACACCAGAACAGCTCAATCGAAAAGTAAGCATACAACCACAGACACTGATAATCAGCTGTCAGAATCAGAGCGTCCCCCTCTAATAAGTAGACAAAAATAATATGAGGCAAAATACTTCTGTCCGACTGTTCCCGTAACACCTGGAAGTCCAGACCAGCTGTCACCGAGGCGATCCCAGATAAATGTTAATAGACACAGTCATCTGGATGATTTTGTGTCGGACTAACAGAAATCAAAGCCGGAGAGAACGTGGCAAGACAACCCGATTACCACCCCTGTCTTATGATTTGTATAAGACCCGCCGTCCCTTCAGTTGCGTTCAATAAAGGCACATTAAGCCGAACTAGACTCTGAGTTTACATTACACATACATACTCCAGATACTTGACAGAAAACATCGTTGGTGAGGTAAGAAAGCTGAAGGTGTTAACATATATGTGTATATTACTTTGTTCATACCTTCACAGCTAGGACCTGCCGTGCAAAGTACACGGGGTTAACTAATTCTCATTCTCTTCTTATTTCATTGGTAAAAAAAGATGTTCCACACAGACGGCTTCTTGCACAGAACTGTTACTGTCTGAACCAAACTCCCAAGAGGAAGCTTCTCGATCACTAAAATCTTACTCTTCTAGATGTGTCAACAGTTATAAATCTTACAT